AAGCTAAGTGCCGACTTGCTGTGGTTCCTGTGGCGAAGACCGTTTCACGCACGACGCAGACGTTCGCCGGGTTGAAGAACAAGCAACTGTCGACGATACTGCGTGCCGGTCGAAAATGCGTGGGAAGGACCCGTTTCGAATCGACTCTACCACGCGTTCTCCCTTCCACATCCGCCTGACACTTAAACTCCGCCTCAACCTCCTGAATCACCTTCTCCTCCTCGTCGAAGCCGAATGCGAAGTCCACCCCTGTGTTGCTTGTCCCTGGGGGAAAACACAGACTGTGCGTTGGGGGCGGTGCCTTTTTTTCTGCATTCGCTTGCGCGGAGGATGTTGGCATCGACGTTGTAGAAGTCTTCCCGACTTAGCGGATCTTTTAGCCGGGCCACGATGTCTGGGCCAACAATCTCTTGCAATCCAAGGGCGTCGTCGGAGACCCTAATGAGCGAGCCAACGTCTTGTTGCACCCGCTTTGCCCAAGGGTGGGCCAGCGCAGAAATGGAGTCATCGTCGGCCACCGTGCACGCCGCGGATGGTGCCGACAAAAGACCCCGAATAACTGGATGTTGTTGCTCCTGTCCTTTGCCGCCTGCTGTGGCCACTTCAGCCTTCTCGCCCGCATTTCGACTTTCGACCTGGGGATCTTCCAATGTGCCACGACCTCATTGTTCGTCAGCGAGCGCACCGTGCCGTTCTCCTCGTTGCATGCGCAGGCTGCGCCTCTCGTAGCAATACGAGCCAAGGAAGCAATCGCCCCGTCGAGCGCGTCGTGCTGCTTGTCGCGGGCAAAAACGCCCCCACCGCGGTGGGCGCCGCGTGCGCGACTCTTCCAATCAGCACAGTCCTTCGCCATCTCCACGGTGCGCGCTTGGCACTCCAGAAAGATCCCATTGAGTAAGTGCTGCTTTGGCCGCGGAGATCCCCTTCGCAAGCTCGATGCCGAAGCTCTGGATATGCGTGAGGATGGGTCCCAAGTGGCGCGCTTGATCCACTATCTGTCCGTCTCATTTGTTTGCTGTTCCCGTCGCCGTAAACCCCTTCTCGATATTCCACTTCCAATGCCATGTAGAGCCATGCCGTTGACCGGCTTTGACTTTTCTGAGCCAGTCCGATCTTGAGCAGCTGCTCGTCCATGAGCTTGTCGGAGCCCTGCTACTTACCCCTCCAACTGGTCAAAATTGACATCCTCTTCCAGCGCGGGCTGGCGTTGCAGGATCTTTCGGTTGACATCGTCGGCGTACAAGTGCAGACTGAGATCCTCTTCGCGTCTAGTGTTCGGACACTTGACAAACTGCATTTTGCCAGCATCATCAATGCGGGCGCCGCTGCGTCGTCCGCGGCTCAATGGCATGAGTAAAGGCTAGGGGGAAGCAGCGCACCGTGCAATGATCCCCCATGAGGCCTCCCTCCGTCGGCCTTTCGGCGGGGCATGCCCTCAGCTGCTGGAAGCTGCACTTGCGCTCTCCGAATTCGCTGATGAGTCAGTCGCAAGTCTTTGTCCCGTGCCAGCGCAGAAGCCGCCCTCTCCATCCGGCCAACTGATGGAAAAGCGTCGGTCATGTACTTGGACCTGTCAATACACGAGCCCTTCAATTGCCAGAGTGCGTAGCCCATGATGATCGAAGCCAGGGTATCAGCCCCTCGGCGTCTCCCTCGCGCGTGGCCGCGCTGCTCTGCCGGAAGGCGTGGTGGGCGACGCGCTCTGATGCAATGCTGCAAGAAAATTTTGCCCAATACGCGAATAAGGTGTAGAAGTCGCCGTCTTTTGGGCCCAGGCCGCATAGCGCTCAGAGATATGCCTGTTCAGCGGAGTCATCTGGCGATATCGCATGTTGTAGAAAGCCACGCGCAGGCGAGCCTCGATGGATCCGTTGTCCGCGTCTTGCAGATCTGGGCCAATTCCTTCGTGGAAAGCATCTCGCGCGGGGCGCGGCGCCATCCAGAAAAGCTCAGCATGGGGTGGGCCAGCTCGGCGCGCTTTCCTCTTCGGGGCCTGCGCCGCATACCGCCTCTGCCGCTAAATATTTCTCCGACTTCCGAGAACGGCATCGGTGGCGTTATCATCTTGAAACTCAAGTACGTCCGCGCCCTCTTCCATGAATTGCCAAAGGCTTGGAATGTTGGGCAGCTCGTCTGGGATTTCTCCACGTTCAAGCTCTTCCACCTGTCCTCGCTGCTTAGGTGTAATCTCCACTGCGCTCATACCTCCATCTTTGCCTGCCTTCTTGAGCGCCTCCATCCAATCGTGCTTCGTCGGGTTCGCGAAGAGCAGAACTCGAAGGTCCCGTCGCGTTGTGCCGGCCTTGTTGTTTTTTTCCCCCCAATCTGATCGTCGCGCGGTACGCCCGAGCAAATCTCCGAGCGCCCCAGCGCTGGTTCATCCCCTCCGCGATCGCTGCTCTGGTCTGCTGTCGTGCCCAGCTTCTGTTCCCCCGCGTTCCTTTGGATGGCTTTGAGATGTTGTGCTTGTGCATCTTCAATGGTCGCATCTGTTGCCCGC